TCACTTCTTACCAGTCTTATATATACAAAAAGCGTACATCTCGTCTCTTGTGAATCTTCTAGAAACTCATCACGTGTTACCAGAGTCACGTGACTTCCGCTGTCGTAACAATATGAAAATTTTAGCTATTCGACTGTCGAACAAGTACTACAATATTCGGTAAAACGACCAAAAGGGGCGAATAACGAATAGCCATTACAACCGTATATTAATCAGGAAATGATATCTTAAGTTAACAAATTCAAATGATTAAATTCCTACTCAATAATGAAGTAATAAATGGATTTGTGTATTTTCTTATAACAAAGTCACATCGGGCTATCTGCTGTGTCCACCGAGTGGAATCGAACCTGTAAATTTAGCGTTGTTAATCCGAAGACTTACCGCTATTCCACCGTATGTGAAAAAGTTGGGAAGTGATTCAGTATCGAGTGTAGAGAAAAAGATAAATATTTAGTTTATTTTGTATTCATTCACCTACTCATTTCCACAAAAGGGTTGTCAGTTTTAATTTTTTTCTGTCACTCATTTTTTCTTATCTTTATTTTACTTCATTCTAGTTAATTTTATTAACATTATATTACGTTATTTGTATATCACTTATATTTTAAAAATTCTTTGAAATTTTCTTTTTTCAAACCATTTCTCTATTTCATCCCATCCAACTTCCTTTACTATATATTTCTTTACAGTCTCCCTCTCTGTCTATCACTGTAGAGCACACAAGATTTTAACAATATCGCGCGTCAACGTGTGACTACCACGAACAGACATGACGTCATTAGCTATCACCAACTTTCCACTTCCGGCTCATTGCCAATTCACCCCTGAAAAAGAAAGGTGGTGCTACATTTCAAGCTCTCAATTTGTCGGGTTTCTTTATTTCTGTGATTCGTCTACTTTATGCTACATCATAATACCATACTGTAATAGACGAACAGTGGAAGAATGTAAAAAAATATGAATTACCTGAAACTAGTCCTATTTGATAGAAAAGGGGATGACTGGTTACCTTTAAAGACCAATACTGAGCTCAGCAGTTTTTATGAGACAATAAATACTGCGGAATAAATTGGCTGGTTTCATAACTACTTTCTTAGCCTGACGAGTGTAAAAATAACATGAGCACGTGAATGTGTGTGT